GACAACAGCTGTACTCTATTAGCTTAGCCAGCCTTACTAACTTGCTAATAACTTACTAGAAGAGTTGGATCTCCGCGACTGACAGCATTGTATTAAAAAAAACAAACATGGAGAGGAGGAGCTGTTCACAGATGGTTCATCATGGTTGTCATGTGTCTGTGTGTGCGTGTGTGAAAGAAACAGAGCGGGGCACAGAAAAACTGAGCAAATACTTGCTATGCACAGCACTACATTGAAATACGATACAACCTATTTTAAATCAATATGTGGCAGTCAATGTTGATATTGTAGCAGCCTGCCTCAAATAAATCAGTGTATGGGAAACAATGGTGTGGCCTTCTAACAGAACTCCTTTCCACAAAGTGAACTGCTCTTGTTTTGTTATGTACTGATTTTGCAAGACAGCTTTCACCTTGACAAGAAATATCACGTTTTAATATTGTGAGATCTAGTGGTACGAGATCTCATCATACACCTACTGAACACTTAAGTAGCACCACTTATTTCTGTCTTCTCAGTAATCAGATCTGTGCAAAATAAGATAAGGTCTGTGCCTCTGTTTGCCTAGTAAATCTATTTTTACTGAGCATAAATCATATGGAATTATTATATTATGCTGGTGATAGTACTGTATAGCATTGTTATTTGTAGACATGATAGCTCAAGTTTTATTATATATTATAACACAGCATTGCTTTTGGTGTTTCACTTGACTGATTCCATAATATATTTGAGATTTTACAGCAATTTGTATTTTAGTTTTATGGACTCAGGGACTACAGATGAAAATTAGCCTTCATGGTTAATTCTGGCATACTGATAGAAATGTAATTAATATGTATTGCTCTGTTGTGCTGCAGTGCTCATTAAAATATCTTACAACTGCAGCAACATAAAGCATCAAGTAAATGAGCAGTAAGAATTCCCTTACATTTACTATTTCTCTGGAAAAGATACAACTTGTCCTGACGTTCCCATTTCTGTAAATACTGAAACAGCACATTTCAGCTAGCCGGCAGACAAGGAGTGAATGTATGTGAATCAACAGTGTGAATTCTGTGCACTGATTTCCTCACTCCCTGCAAACCCCAACCTGATTACAGCAGAGACTGAGGAGCAAAAACAAAGTCCTCCTCCACATTATATTAGACAGAGCTGGACAATAGCTACAAAGAATCTTCTGGCTGTGTTCCTCATAATCATCCCCTAAACAAACTGCCTCCATACTACATACTGAACCGGTAAATCTAAACTAAAATGTCTACAGATCAATAGTTTAAGCATCTTAAATCATTACTCGGGGCAGACAGTCCCTTTAGATAGACAGAAAGAGTAATGGCACTGTTTGCAGTTTCCTGGTTTCTGCCTAAATTGATCATGAAATGTGATCTGATCTTCACCAAAGTCATAAATATATAAAAAAAAAAAAACAATACTTCCAAGATGATAAAACACTACAACACCTGCAAACAGTACCATTACTTTTTCTTGCGACAGCCGATCAGTAATGTAGGTAGATAAATATGCAGCACTTGTATCACTATATACAAAAAGACAAAGACTACTGGACCAGTTCTAGGCACAGAACAGCAGTTGGGCTGAGTTAGAAGACCAGAGACAAGGAACTTTAAATAAAGTAACTGGCAGTTTAATGACATTAAACAAACAGCAACAAAACACATTCACAGTCAATAACAATTTGCCACTTTAACTCTTGTCATGTCTTTTTGTTCAACACGTTTCTGTAAACACTAACTGTTATTTTAGATTTGTTTTGTCAACTGTATTTTCTTTGCCTCTTTTGTACATCAGAAATGAAATTGTCTAAACTACTTGTTCACCCTCCACATCATCCAGTCACTTGTGCACATCATTTCAACAATTACTCGTTGTTTTTAACACATTGCAAAAGCTTTGGCACATTCATGAAGCTAATTATGTACAACTGTCTGTTGTTTCTACATTATCAGTTGCTTGTGTTATGTTGATCAAAATGCATTATATAGTTCTCTGTTGAATAGGCTGACCTCCCACAACATTTAGGCATTAGTTCATTTAAGATGTCATTACATGTAAAATGGGTGAAGTAGTTGTCTTTAGTATTTGTCAAGCATAGTTCTATACAGCTCTGTTAGACTTGTTTGCAACTGTGTCTGAATTTTTGAATTGCTCTTAGGTGAATCTTGACTTTCACTAATGAAGGGGAATGTGTGAAGCACAAGATCAACCAGCACTCTACTGTAAAATAGCTCAGAGGCACATCTCATGAACCTTCAACTGGGGAGCATATAGTTAGGCGGAGCACAACAAGTTACAAGTGTAACAATGGAAGAACAAGGAGGTGAACAGCAGGCTGACCAACAACAGAAATGTACTGGACAAAAATCGTGTTCATGGAGACTTATCAGCAAGGATGGATCTATTAATTTTCCTATATTTCTAGAAAGGACAGGGGAAGTAAAACCCAAAAGCTCAGAGTGACACCAGGGGCCTGATGCATCAGAAGAGACTCTAGTAAAAAGTTTCCAATACATAAACAAGTTAAAAGGTGATCTACCTTATTTAAGCAACTGTCTGTGGTAATGAAACTTCAAATGCTCCAAAGGAAGAAACTGACTTGAAGCATTAAGGGGCTCAGGGAAGGCAGGTTCTTAGCGTTCTTACTACGCATTTTCAAAGTAACTTTGGTATAGTAAATTGACAGATGTTTATGTATTTCTAAGAAATGTCACAGACCGATTATTTGACATATATAGATTGATTCTACTTACACTTCGGTTGGTGATCACCAGAAATAACGAATAAACACCGGAAAACGCGTAAAACCGGATGTGTCCGTTAAGAATAACATTAGGTCACGTGGTCTCAAAATGGCCGCGGCACTTTCCCTCCACCGAGGAATTAGCGTCCATACATAGCCAAAAAAAATATCCAGAGTACATGAAATACACGCTCAAATATTCAAAAACATAAAATATTCATACATACAGTCGTCTATAAACTCTAAATCCAACAAAATACACTGACTGGCACTCAGTTTAACTTCGTTTTCGAGTTAGGGCGAATCAGGTTTACTAAATTAAAGCAACTTTTTTCAAGCTCAATAAAACGTAGCAAAACTCACCAAAACCATCCTGGTTAGCACTACCAGTGCTTCAACAGTTGGCGACTCCAGTTTGGTTAAGAAAGATTATAAATTCAGAGTAAATTCTAAAAATATCCCGACTACTCTACACTGCAGGTGTCTGAAACTCTCACTAATCTCTGCTACACTGCGCCATCTGCCCTAAAACATGGAAGGTGGTGCACCCGAGTGTAATGCCTGGTTCAGACTACATGATTTAAGACAGATGACAGGCCAACATGACCTATGTGATTGTTTTATCTGGTATAGTCTGTGGCAATACCAAACGGAACTCTTTCTTCTCACTTTAATTAGAGCTTATTTCCCAGCAGTGATACATAGATAGATATTGGTTCTCACAGCAGAAACATTTTATTTGCTCGTTATTGTGTATTACATTGTGTTCTGAAACATTCTGATAGGTATGTATTTAAATATATATATGTATTCTTAAAATATACACACTGTTAGGTTTGAAAACTCTAGATGATGGAACAGAACAAACAGAGACACTTGAGTATACTATGTAGTGTAGATGCAAAGAGCAAAATCACAGTAAACACACTGAAGGAGAATTGCCCAGTGCAAAGAGCAATATTCTGTTTGGAAATTAGTTTCTCCAGGGGGAGAATTGCATCTACCACAATCTGAACTAAACAAAGCCAAGAGTCAAGAAGATTTTTTCTTGTTACAGTTCTGAGGTAGGACACAAGCTTACAGAAAACAAAGAGAATGGAATACAGCAAAACGGGGAAAAAGATACTGGGATGAGGAGAAAAACTATATAAACTGTGTAAATGATGATGATCAATTCACAGCTTCTAATTTTTTTAAATACACAATATACAAACTCTTTAAAATACACAACTTTTATTTAATATATTTAAAGTGTGCTCATTGTCAAAAACATTTATTTAAATATTTTGCACCAAGGAAAAACATGCCATGAATACAATCATCACAAAACACAAGAAAAGCAAGACAATACAGCAGCTGTGTCCAAATTCAGGGGATGCATCCTTTAAAGGCTGCATTTGAAGACTGATTGCGACACAGCATTGTGACAAGGCTAGCCCATTTTCAAGGCTCCTCCAAATGTGGCAGAGAAATGCATCCTTCTTTCCCCAGGCGACAAAGGTTTCAACTGGTAGATTCTTCAAGGCCCATCCTATCCCAAGATTCTTTGCACATTGGCAGGGTACAATGCTGCTTTTTAAAAGTATATATTTTGACACCTGACTCAACTTCCTGTACCAGAATGTATTCAATCCAAATTTTAGTATTTTAAATGCTGATATGACTTTGAAATAGATTGTGTTTGCAAACAAATTTCTTAGTGTTTTAAGTTATAACATATAATTCATATATACCACTCATATCTTGACAACACAGAACAGCATCTGCATGCAAGATACAAAACAAATAAACCAAAGAATATCTTTTTCCATTTACAGAAACTACAACCTTAATAATAAACTAGCACATTCATAACAAGTTAAAAATATTTAATCAGACTTTGATTACAGCTGCAGGCCATGTGGGAAAAAAGACCACATAAACATTTTAAGCACCGGAGCAGTAATCATACAGTTGTGTTGGAAATACAATGGTCAAGCACCACTTTGCAACAGAATGCCATTCTGTCTGACTTATGTACATAAGCTGTACAGTGACCCTAAACCTGATTCAAACTCAGTTTGAAGTCAAACAACAGCAAATGGTGCTGGCCTTCATGGATTTCACCTCACAATCACTGACTTTTGATCATCTTTGGGACCATTTGAAAAGGGAAAATGCAAAGTGCAAACCATGGTTAAGGCAAAAGGTGGAATAAGGAAAG